ATTTGAATCCGAGGTTGTTTACATATAAATCAATATCCGGTCGACTTTTCCAACTTAAACTTTCTATTTAAGAGACTAAGTGTCTTATTTCACTCTAAATTCTCTCCGGACCCGAACTAACTAACCCGATAAGTCATACAACAGATATAAAGAACAAACAGAGCAGTAAATGGGGGAACATGGCTGTAATACTCAAAACTACCGGTCGGGTCGTTACAAAGACTTATCAAACGGACTAGAGCGTCCTGAAGCATTGGAGTAGCTATGAACCCTTCCGGAGCCTGAACTAGTCCAAAAGGTACAGTCTGAACTGGAACCTCCTCCTGAAGGTCCACCTGAGGTTCTACAACATGTGCTACTGCTCGAGCTTTAGACTGAGCTCTACCTCTACCTCTACCTCTAGCACGACTTCGGCCTCGACCTCTACCCCTGGCCATAGTTGCCACCGGGGACTATGGTCCCTGTCCGTCGGTAGATGTATTACGTGTTCTCTCCATCTGCGAGAGAATAAGAATAGAATGGTTCAATTATCGATGATAGAATAAAATCGCACGACAGAATAAGAAAGAAGTGATATTATTCCTAAACTTTATAACCTGTGAAAGATAAGTATAGACGTCTCAGTACCGATCCTTCAAACTCTACTAAGTTTGTTTGTGACTCGTGAGACCTATGTAACCTAGTGCTCTGATACCAACTATCACGACCCGAAATTCCCACATTCGGGACTGTGATGGCGCCTAACATTTTACTTGCTAGGCAAGCCAACGTTAGAATAATATTAGCCATTTTAAAATAATTTTAAATTAATTAATAACAAAGAAACAAATGCGGAAGTAAAGTCTGAAATGTAGTGAATAATCCATAATAATAGCGATGTCTAAATACCATCCCAGAACTAGAGTCACAAGTGCACGAGCTTCTAGAATGATACAAATAAGGGGCTGAATAAAATAAAGTTGCCTGAAAGCAAACACACAGCTAAAATAAAATAGACGGGGACTTCAGAACTGCGGACGTTGTGCAGTTATACCTTAAGTCTCCTCTGGGTAGCTGAAATCCGAGCAAGTCTATGGCACGCCGCTGGGAANATAATAATAATAATAATAATAATAATAATAATAATAATAATAATAATAATGGGAATATTAGTAAGACCAGTAAATAATATTAATAATTGAAATCAACTCAGTAGTCACAATCCTTCAACTTGTTTCTATTGTAGCGTACAACTCGTTTCCTCAATATAAATTTTAAATAATTCCATTGCGGCGTGCAATCTGATCCCCCAAATATAGACTTTTAAATAAGTCTGTTGCGGCGTGCAATCTGATCCCCCAAATATAGACTTTTAAATAAGTCTGTTGCGGCGTGCAATCCAATCCCCAAATATAGACTTTTAAATATGTCTGTTGCGGCGTGCAATCCAATCCCCCAATATAGACTTTTAAATAAGTCTGTTGCGGCGTGCAATCCAATCCCCCAATATAGACTTTTAAATAAGTCTGTTGCGGCGTGCAATCCGATCCCTCAATATATATTTACTTTTATTTTCGTTGCGGCATGCAACCCGATCCCCCAATATATTTTTGACAACTCATAAATATAATAAAAATTACTCCAATAAATACCACGTCCAATGAGAAACTATTAAGCATAAAGGCACACAATAATTATAATTTTTTATGAATAAACAATGACAATTAGCAATTAATTATAAAAATTATGGAGAAAATAGGCAGTTTAATATTTAGTATGCTAAATGTCAAATAGCAATTAAGATACATAAGTCAAATGAGCATGTAACAATTATTGCAAAAAATTCAAAAATTAATATTTGACAAGAAATATGAGTGAAACAATTAATATAATAATTCATTCATGATTTAAAACGATTTATGATTTTTCAAGTAATTATGCAAATAATTAATTTGACTACGTATAGACACTCATCACCTTGCCTATACGTGATTCACATGCATCTCACATAACAAATAATTCAAGGGTTCTATTCCCTAAAGTCAAGGTTAACCATGACACTTACCTCGCTTTGCAACCAAATTTCAAGAATCCAATAAACCTTTGCCTCGCGAATTCGTATTCGAAATCCTCAAAACTAGTCATAAACAATTCAATATTCTCAATATAAATCGTAGGAATTAATTCCATATGAATTTACAAATTTTTCGGATAAAAATCCCAAATTTATTTTAAAATTAACAGTGGGACCCACGTCTCGAATCCCGAAAAATTTGCGAAATCCGAACACCCGTTCCGATACGAGTTCAACCATATAAAAATTACCGAATTCCGATATCGGATTGGCTTTCAAATCTTCATTTTACATTTTTGGAAGATTTTATAAAAATCTGATTTTTCTTCCACAAATTCACGGATTCATGATATAAATGAGTATGGAATCATAAAATATAATCAATATAGGATAAGGAATACTTACTCCAATATTTTTCCATAAAACTCGCCCAAAATCGTCTTACCCAAGCTTAAAATCGAAAATGGTGGAAAATGGATCGAAATCCCATTTCTAGAACTTAAGTTCTGTTTTTCACATTTTTCTTCTTCACGGACGCGATAGTACCCTCGCGTTCGCGAAGCACATTTTTGTGCTGCCAAACATTTCAACCTCGCGAACGCGATGCCTTGCCTTGCTTGGCCTTCGCGACGCGATCTGCCCTTCGCGAAGGTAAAAATCCTCTCTGGTCATATCCCCTTCGCGAACGCTAGGCTTCGATCGCGAACGCGAAGCACAAAATGTGCCAGTCCAAATTTTCTCTTCGCGAACGCGAGACTCCCTTCGCAAACGCGAAGAAGGAAACCAGAACAAGCATCAGAAAATTTCCAACATCATTCCAAGTCCGAAATTCAATCCGTTAACCATCTGGAACTCGCCCGAGGCCCTCGGGACCTCAACCAAATATACCAACAAGTCCTAAAATATCATACGGACTTAGTCGAAACCTCAAATCACATCCAACAACACTAAAAACACGAATCACACATAGATCCAAGCCTAATAAACTTTGAAACTTCCAATTTCTACAAACGACACCGGAACCTATCAAATCAAATACGATTGACCTCAAATTTTGCACACAAGTCATAAATGACATAACGGACCTATGAAAATTTTCAAAATCGGATTCCAACCCCGATATCAAAAAGTCAACTCCGTGGTCAAACTTAGAAATCTTTAGCCTTTAAATTTCTAGTTTTCATTAAATGGTCATAACTTGAGCTAGAGACCTCCAAATTAAATTTCGGGCATACGCTCAAGTCCCAAATCACGATACGTACCTATCGGAATTGTCAAAATACTGATCCGAGTCCGTTTGCTCAAAATGTTGACCAAAGTCAACTCAGTTGAGTTTTAAGACTCTATTTCATATTTTAATCATTTTTTCATATAAAAACTTTCCGAAAAATTATACGGACTGCGCACACAAGTCGAGGAATGATGAATATTGCTTTTCGAGGTCTTAGAATACAGAATTAATAATCAAATTTAAAGATGACCTTTTGGGTGATCACACTAATGCATGCTGAAGTTATTTATCCTGCAGTCGACAGTTTTATCATGAATTTTATCCGAAACTTCAGTCTAAACATGCTAAAGTTATTTAGTTAATTTGCTAAAATTTCAGACTAAACATGCTTTAAGTTATTTAGTTCATTTGCTAAAATTTCAGACTAAACATGCTTAAGTTATTTAGTTCATTTGCTAAAACTTCAGACTAAACGCTTAAGTTTTTTAGTTCATTTGCTAAAATTTCGGACTAAGCATGCTTAAGTTTTTGTCTTGTAGTATGTAATTTTCTAATGAGTTTTTGCTAATGCATGCTAAAGTTATTTAGTTCATTTGCTAAAACTTCAGACAAAACATGCTGAAGTTATTTAGTTCATTTGCTAAAATTTCAGACTAAACATGTTGAAAGTTTTTAGTTCATTTGCTAAAATTTCAGACTAAATATGCTTAAGTTTTTGTCTTGCAGTATGTAATTTTCTAAAGAGTTTTTGCTAATGCATGCTGAAGTTATTTAGTTCATTTGCTAAAATTTCATAGCAAAACATGCTAAAGTTTTGTAACGCAGTCTACAGTTTTGTTCTGAGTTTTATCTGAAACTTCCGTCTAAACAAGCTGAATTTTTTAGTTTATTTGCTAAAACTTCAGCCTAAACATGCTTAAATTTTTGTCATGTAGTTTGTCAATAGTCTTTTATTAAAGAAGGGTAAAATCATCTTTTTAAAATATTTTTAACAAAAAAATGGGTATGGATGCAAACGGAAAAATAAAACGGGTATAAGTTTAAAAGGGGCGACCAAATAGGACGCGCCGTGCAATTTTTACAAAATATTTTTAGTGAGAAAAAGAAAATGATATGCAAGTTTAAATTGGCACAAATGTTGTTTCTATGATAGACCAACAAACAGGAAACAATGGGATTGTGAATTAATGGTCTTAAGCTTTTGACCCTGCTTGCTTTGCAAAATGCGCAAAACTTTTTAAATTTGAAACGGGATCAAAAGGTCTTGTAAATCAGTCACCAACAAAAGGGGTCAATCAGGGGACGGATTTAGGGGTGGAAGGATGTTCACCCAAATTCCTTTGCCGAAATCTGTTGTTTATCTGTATATATTATATTTTGAATTCTTTTGATACAGTTTAAAAGCATAGCTTAATGGTCAAGTTTTTTCAAAATCTTTATAAGATTATTGGTTTTATTTCCACCGGCTACAACTTTTTTAACTTTTTCCTTTTTTAAACCCATTGGCTATAATTATGTTCTGAGGTCAATGATGAGCTGATGTTGAACTTTTAACTTTGGGACAGGTTACCTGTGATCAATGGGCAATACTTTAAGTTTTTAACAATTTTGCCATATGAACAAAACTTTTTGACTTTTACTTTTGACTTTAAACGTTTGCTGGTCCTAAAGGTCAAAATTTAAAGACAACAGTGTCCTATTTCTGCCACTTTCTGCAACAAAAGAGCCTAATATGAAAAGCCCACAAAACAAGCCCAAAATAAACTGTTAGCTCCTTACAAAGACGCCGGCGATCCGACACGCTGAAGCGGAAATGAACCAAAACGAAGTCAGCAACTCTGGTGGCGGCACGGCCCATCACCGGTGGTGGGCCGCCGCGAGCACAGGGCAGTTAGTATGGGGAATTCACGCTTTTAGAAAAGGTTACGCCGGTGAATGTCGATTGATGCCGCTTAAAGCCTTCGGCGTCGCCTCGCTTTTCGTCGGCGCCATCGCCTCCGCCTCCGTCGCCTCTCTTCAAGCCTCCGGCATCCACTCCGTAAATTCTCTCTTACCTCTTTGTTACACTAAAGATATTTTGTCACTTATTAGCATATCGTAGGACTTTTCGTTGACTAAATTAGACAGACTATTTTGTGTGGAGTCACTTTGGATTTAATTGATAAATTTTTGAGTGCCATTTGAAAAAGATCTCCCTTTTGTTCTACGTTATGTGACAGCATGGAGTTAAAGACCTGACATTATAGAATCCGAATAGTTTAATGAATTTTAATTCTGGAAAGTTGTATTGAAATGGAATAGTGTAAAAAACTGCAGGACATTTTTGAAAAGGAAAGAGCATGGGATAAATTGGGATGAAGAGAGTACTCATATGGGTTGAAATGAAGTGTTACATGAGTGTAATTATGTTCTCATGTGCATCCTAAGACATGCAGATTAAGCTTCTGAATTTGAAATAACCAGTTCATTCTAATGGGATCTTATATTGATCATATGGTATTCAGACTTACTTGATTTAAGCAGGGATGTAGATGCTGAGTGTAAATATAATCGTTTTTGTGACGGAAAAAGAAGAGTGAAGAAGAAATTTGAGATTTACTATGATATTATTGTGCATTTTCCTGTATATCAGTTAACTTCTGAGCTATGAGCAGCTATCTGGGTTTCCTTTATGTTTGATGTTAGATGATTTTCCTTTATACATATGTCTAGGTGAAGAATCAATACTTCTGGAGTTTTTCATTTTGAAGTTGAAAACTATAGAATATAGAACATCCAGTAGTAAGAAATCAAACTTTTTTGCGAAATTAGGGTCTGACTTTCAATTATTTGAAATGCTTGATAAGGTTTTTGTGCCCTAAGGTTTATCAATAAGGCATTAAGAACATCTCCAATTACAAGTATGAAATGTATTGCACACAGGGAATAGATCGTGATAGCTGCCTTTTCTTGTGCTTGGTTGACATCGCACGACTCTGTTCCAGTGCGGGAATTCTTTCTGCTTATAGAAGTAATAGGGAGAAAAGCTCTGCGTAACATCCAATTTCATGTAGATATATCATGCTCAAGTTGGTGATAGTTTAACTGTTTGCTGCATATGTTTTGCTTGCTCTTATGGTAGATTGATTCAGCCTATTGGTGTGAACTAAGCAGGTCTACTTTTGTTAGGAAACTTGCCTCAATTTCATTTCTTACGTCTTTTTCATTCTACCTGAGCATTACTAAGTGCCAATATGGATTAAATGATACGGTAACTGGTCTGCCACGAGATGGAAATAGCGAGAGGTCTATTGTCTGCCTATGAATTGAAGCACCAGTTAGAAGGATGGTTGAGTAACATTATTGGATATAATGATTTGCTTTAGATTGGGGTTTGTTGTTGCTGCTGCTATTGGTGGTGGTCTTAGAAAGTAGAAATAAGTTGATGCTTTTAGCCCCAATAGAGGGTTTGCACAACCTGTAATTATGCATGATGTACTGGCTTAGTGCATAAATTTATAAAATCCTTAATTACTTATCAAAAAAGAAGTTGATGCTTTTAGCATGTTACAAATTGGACATGTTCACCATGGGAAGTACTTCGCTGTTGACAAGTTACATGTAGATTATATCTTTTGACCTTGTTTTGCTTACACTATTATCTCGCTTCATTCATGTGGGGTCATATGATATTTGGAATCGTGTGTCACGAAACATTGTTTTATTTATATTTTTTTAACTGTGCTGTTGCATGCACAGCGAAATTGTGTGGAATTTTGCATCACAAATTTTGTTTTGTTTTAGTTCTCTATGCTTTTTGATAGGTCATATAATCAGAGAAAATGATCCTTTCTTCTAGTTTCCATTAGATCAGCAAAATCATAAAATCAGAACCCTTTTGTTTTTTTATTAGTATTAAGTGTTAGTAACTTGGCGGATGTGTTTGTCCACATGAAGCTCGTTGGCAGACCTTGTAACATGACTTTTAGCGTAGGAAGACGGAGAGAAAATGCTTACACATGGATGGAGTCCTACACGAAGAAGATTAAGTCTAGTTCAGCTGTAAAATTAAACCTTTTAATTTCATCCGTAGTACAAAGCTGTTGAATGTAATCTTTCAAACTAGTGGCAAGGTATTCGTGTAATAGCCCAATGATTAATTTCGTCCTGTAGGTTCCAGTACTAAAAGCATGATCTGTAGTTAGAACACGATGTATCTATTTGCTTATCATGAGCAAAATATGATGTGTCTGATTTATTTTGTTAAAGTCAGTAGTTATTAATATATCCCCTTCGTTTTCAGTTTTGAAACAGCCTCTACCCTCATAGGATAGGGGTAAGGTCTGCATACACTCTATCCTCTCCAGATCCACTTGTGGGATTACACTAGGTTTATTGTTGTTGTTTTCAGTTTTGAAATTGTGCGCCCTAATTGGTTGCAAAATATGTAGGTGGAAGACATGAAGGCTGTTGGGGCAAGTATAAGAACAGGACTTGGCTTAACACGAAGGGCACAGGATGACTAAGTATTTTGAGCATTTTCGTGAATCAGTAGCCTATAGAATGTTGACGAAGGAAGATTATCCATCTTTGCGTAGTTTCTTGCTAAAATCATTCCCAAGGGAGCACTTAGCTGACAAGGGGTACCCCCTCGGTTAACGATTGTAGCATTTGAGGCTGGCAGCTGTTCAATCTTAACCCGAGTGACACATTTGCTGGAATGGCAGCTTTAAAGTTCTAACTGCAGCATTTTCCTCTTTCCATTCAGCTAAAGCGTTTTCATGTTGGATGGGACTAAGAAATAGCGCTATCGTGGAAAGTGGAAACTACGTACCAACCACTATCACAGTGCATGTACCGAAATAATAAGTGCATGACATGTGTTTTCTTATATGTATTCTTCAATTTATCAGTTAAATGTGACAATTAAGGCATTAAGTCCAGATAAGTTTTTCCAACTATACAGTCCATGTTGGATCATATTAGTTTCTGTTACATGTAAAAGGAAGTAGGAGCTGGCTACTCATTGGTACCTTTTCTTTCCTTTTTAACTTAAAAGAGTCGAATTTTAAGCAGATGTTATGTGGAGGATTGAGGCAAAGTGGGTATAAACTAATTAAGCCACTCAAGATTCATTAGGTTTCAGTTGCATTTTTTTCTCTACTACAAATAACCCTACATATTAGTTAGTCATTAAGCCTGGTCTGCTTTATCTCTAAAAAATAAAAATATTCAAATCTCTGTCTCTCAATATACATACATACACGCATATGACATTTCTATTTATTATTGGTTAACAACGTAGTATTCACTAATTCTAGTTTTAGGGGTTTGCGCTTTGTAACTTGATCTAAGCCAGAATGATTTGAACAGTCTTCTTATATTTCTAAAATAATTTACAAGAATTTGGTGCCAAAACCTCTCTTTCTTTCTGGAAAGAGGAGGGGAGGGATAGTATTTGGCTACGAAATCCAAAGTGAAGCTTCTAGTTCTAATCTGTTCTATTAGCCTCACATTTGGATAAGAAAAAACTGCTAGAAAATGATTTTCTTGAGAAAACTGTAGAAATATAAAGTAAAAAGAAAATGGAAACTTACAGTTGAGGGAGACGGTAAAAATGACAAAAAAACAAAATCACTATCATTTCAAAATTTCTTCGGATTTGAACTGCAAGAAAGTCTTCCATGGGAAAGGATATAATAGCTTTTCTTGCAACTTTCTTATGAAGCACAAAAAGTAGACTTTCTAACATTTTCTTAGCAGTGCTAACTATTATCAGAATCCACGTCTCAACCAAAAAGAACTTGAAATCAGAACTGTCATCTTGGGAGCTCTCACGCAAGTTGAAAAGAATTTGGAGCATTATCAACTGCATCTAGGCGTTCATGACAAGACTGGCACAGCATTTATTCATTGTGGATATTCAGGCAGGTACATACGACTCGAGCATCAATTGCGCTGGGGAGGGTGATTTGATCTCAACAATCAAGTATGTGAACTTCCACTGCTTATCCACCTTGTCCTGAAACATCTCAGTATAAACCTTGCCAGCTCCATGTGGTCCGCGGATATAAAAATTGACCTACACTCAGTTTAATCACACCAACCTAAATATATATTGGAGAAAGTAGAAGTAACACTAAATAAACATTCAATATCTGCAAGCTTGAGCTCGGGAAGTGAAAGTATCAATAGGATAGGGATTATCAGAAAGAAAATAGCCACCTCAACATGCTCAACTCCGTCTTCGTCAGTCCATATCCTATTGGGGATGCGTTGGCGTGCAGCACGGTTTCTACTTTCTGATCCATAGCCTGTTACAGGGGATCCAATTCTTACACTAACCTGGTGCAAATAATAGCAAACACATGCAACTAATCAGTTCAAGTACAACCAGAATCAAAATACACAAACTGATTGGTCAGACTCAGTGCTATGAAGTATGAACTCTATATAACCCAGCAAGCCAGTAAAGACTGCCCCAGTTGGTACTTAGGAAATAAGATATTTGCCTCGCAGCTGTCATCCAGTCTACAACTCAATCCCAAAATTATAGGTAGTAAATTCACGGCAAGGATTATAGGGGCAAGACACATACTTGACCATCATTTTGAATCCTCTTGAGAGCTTTATCAAAAATTTTGTACCTACAAAAGAAAATTAATTTAAGCAAGATCGAAAACAAGAAGAATTCAAGGTTTATGTCAACCTACTTAGAGAGCGTATTTGCAACCCTTACTCTTTCGGCTGAAAAATGAGTTCCTTAAAAACTCCATATGCTGCACCAGCAGCAACTGCAAGTCCCGCAAGAATGACAAGACTATAAGAAGCTCCCTCAGTAAACGTCACAGGCTTCTCTGGGATATTGTAGGTAGGAGCATCAAAGGGATCCTCAACAGTAGATACATCCTTTCGAGCCTGTACAAGTAAGAAAAGAAATAAATGCATTTGTAGTCATATCGGGAGCTATACATTTTAAGGGTGTGAATGGTAATCTCCCAGTTTTACACAATTCTGGGATAATTTTCCTCAATATATACCAAAATGGTGTAACTGCATAGAATAGAGGTGTGGTTCAGTCTCATGCTTCTTCTCCTCTTTAAACTCGTGTTTTGGGGTAACACATTTCCTATGGTGTATACTTGTATTAAGACAACACGTCAATACATTACGGACCTTTACAATGTTGTAAAAGCTTTGAAAAATTTCCATTGAAATAATGTTTTGGAAAAGGACCTTTCAGTGTTATATTAAGACAATCCAACAACACATTATGGCATTGTAAGGGCTCAGGTAATAACCTAATTTACAGGTACAGCATGCTTTTGTAGGGTTGTTTGGTTCACATGCTAGTTATCCATGGATTATAATGTAAGAATTGTTTATGTAGGGGATATTAGTGACGGGATTGTTTGATTAATAATGCAGGAATTGTTAATAATGAAGGGATTGTTATGCAGGGATTACTTACTTTAAGGGCATTGTTGTCTTTAAATACTTTAACGTCCGTATTGCAAATACACGTATTCTTATTTCAAATTCTATCCTGCATAAAATAATATATAGATTCCCGCATAACTTGATGCATGTATTATTTAACAAATCAACAAAACGCTGCACAAACTTATACAGACTTTATTTTCATACGACCAACCAAAAGATGCATAAGTTATGCAGGAAATATTTTTTTAATCCCTCTAACCAAACATAGTATGATGGGATTATTTCTCCAATCCTTCCAACAGTCCAACCAAACGACCACGTATGGGATCAACTTTAAAAGGAGAGAGAGAGAGAGAGAAAGACAAAGATCAACAACCATAAATCAATAATTAGGCAGATCCTGGGCTATCCACATTAAATAGGTTTCAGACAGGAAAATTTATTCAACAAGTCGTAAATCTTCTACTATGAGAAATACAAAAAGACCAACAACGATGCTGTGTAAAAAAAGTAGTTTTGTTAAGCAATAAAATCAATGATTTGTCAGTGGTACTTTTTGGAAACATCATAGAGTTTAGGGATCATGACATTCAGATGACCTGATAGCAACTTAATTTACTTGGTAATGAACCTAACAGAGAGAATAGCAGTTGCAGCATAAAGCAGTGTTATGATTATCATCTAGTTCATTAGCTCTAGAAACAGTAAGTGGTCCAAAACTAGAAGGTGTCTGCTCGAGAAGGTTCTTCTCCTTCTTGGTCCACGCTGAAAATTTCCCTCTTCTCCCTTTAACTTCACTTTTTTGAAAAGTTAAGTTGCCCTAGAAACTAAAACCTTTTACATGGTCTTTGGATTATAAAAACAATAACGGGAATGACTTGTTGCAGGTACACACCAACAAAGGCTAATGCTTGGTGTGTGTTTGGAGCATATGGTGGAGCTCATAAGCATCTCCTTCTGCGATTTGCATTAAATTGTGGAGAAGATCAGTATTTAGGGGAAGCTATTGTGATTTTCTCCTCATTAAATGAGCTTCTCACGGAATGTTTGATATTTTGGGGGAAGCTATAGTGACTCTTTCTCATTAAATGAGCTTCTAAGTTCTAACAACCAGGTACAGGATTTTAGGAGGATAAGGGAAGGTGAACTGTTACAGAATGCAGCTGCTTCGGCTCTAAAATGGTAAAGAACTATGAGAACATTTCAGGACCAATACACATTACTTGACTTGGCCTGGAAAAAAAAAATTCCTTCTTGTTTTTTTTGTAGTAATGGTTTTTACGGAGGGTAGAACTGGGAGACCTGCAACAAGTTAGAGGCTGTAGTAGAACAGCACACCCTCTTGTTAGTCCATTTTGGTCTTTTAAAGACATCTTGTCGTAGATGACTCTGCTTTGTGGAACGGGGATGAGTTCGAGTTCACCACTAGCTTATAAACAATTCAGTAAGGGTAGGCGTCGTTAGCTCATATGTCAATTTACTTAAGTAAAGAAATAATTGTTTCACAAATTAGAGAGAATTGGCAAGCTTAAAGTAGTAAAACGTCTTGATAATTGGAATACCATGTTTCTTAAGTTGAGATGCATTTAGTGAAAATTATTGCTATTGGAAGGTAAAACAAAAGGTTACTAACTCAAGATTGCCATTTTTATAAGTAATTTGGCCCTAAATTTGGTTGTTCAAATCTGTACTGTATTGTTAATGTAATGGCAAAACTTAATTCATGATTCGCTAGGGAATTAGTTAATTGTGGTCCTTAGCACATTTTACTATCGTTTGCCCATCTACTAAAATCTCCTTTTTCAATCTAAAAGAAAAAGGAAAGACATATATGCATGATTTAGAGACAGAAATAACCTCAGATTGCTTTTGTGTTGACCCAGAAGCCTTTGATGCAAATGACCTAGCAAAGCAAGATGATTGAGGATTTACGCTAGCGGTATTGACAAGCTGAAACGGAGATCTAAAGGTCATTAAGCATTGTGTGCTCCTTCGATTTCTGTATAGAACAGGAAGTCCTGCAAGATCTACGTCTGAGTACTTTTCTTAACATAGAATATGCTCCAACAGAAATATTAAAATCTCTGTTGCATGGACACAAGATTGTGACACAGACTGGACACAGCAATTTTCAGCAATTACATGGTGAGACACAAGAGCTTTACAATAGGAAGCAAATGCATGAATGTCCATATGTAGTTTTCTCAATATCTCAACAGGAAATGATTCTAAGAAAGCATAAATATGTAATTCAAAGTTTTAAATATGTAAAAGATAATAAGTAGATAGCAAGTCGACAACATTTAGAGTCAAGCAAGGCATCTCCTTTTTTATTTATGGAAAACAAAAACCTTTCTCTATAGCTGCATGTTCAAAATCATCATCATAAAGTTATTGAGGAACGAAACATGCAAAAGCATATATTTTCTGATCATTCAAATTGCTAGAAGAATCCGTTTGAGGTGAGCACAAATGAAGGAACTAAACCACTACACGGATGGATGTTAAAGCAGACTCGAGCTCCACTCAATGAAGAGAAATGAACTAATCCTAGATTTAGATTCTTAGGAGATGAAAACTTGTTGAGATCCAAATTGTTCTTTTTCAGTTTGCAAATCTTCAGTCATGAATG